CATATTTACTTTATGTTGCTACGAGGATGAGTGATGTTAAGACATTTGACACTATAAAGACTCAATTGGAAACACTGCCAAGCAAAGTGCCACAGGGTGAAAAATATGAATTAAACTTACTATAGTTTATTTTTCCCTATGCTATTGAATCCTTTCAGTGTTGCTCTATTACAATAATTTACATATGTATTAGAATCTTGAACATTAATTTGGCCTTGCATCAAACTAAAGATGTCTTTACTTTGGCAACGCTCTCAATGAATTTTTTTGTGACCTACAATTTTAATCAACTCAGGCAGTATGTTACCAATAACATATTAATCAATTCATGCTCTGCCTTTTTCTTTCAGTAGATATATTTGTGTTTTTTTTCTACATCTCCTGAAACCATTATTAATTTGTTTTATTATTTTTCTTTTCAAGTCTCAAAAGGCTCTATTGTTTCACAAGGGACATTTTTCAAGAGAAATGTCACATTTCTATTATCTGCCTTATCTTTAGCTTTTCCAAACAATTGTAGAAATATGTTTTCTAGCTAACAGTTGTGGGAAAACCCTTTCCTGTACTTAAATACATACAACTCCCACCAGTTGACTTCTCAAGAATTCTTTTAGTCAAATTTTAACTGTAATTGTTATCTAATCTCTACACTTCTTTGTGATTGTACAGTATTTACAAAATGCGCATTGTCAAGCTAAGTCAGAATTCACCTGCTTTTTTTAAACTGATTTATTGAGGGAAAAGTGTGACTAAATTTGTTTTGCATTGTCATACATTGATTTTCAATTTTTGTTTTTCTTGTTTTGTTTTGTTATAAATGTAGTAGCTTTTTCATGATTTAGATTTTAAGTTTTTACTGATGCCTGTATTTTGTTCAAGAAAGCTGTTTCCTTCCTTTGCCTTCTGCTTGCCATTGCCAAACACTGTTGTTATGTAATGGCATTGTGTACCGTAATGGCATTCTAATGCCACTTGACAGTCCAGCCATCCCCATTAGGTCATTTACTTCTGAAAACAATAACTAGACAACTTGATTTACTTATTTTAGTAGGTTAGTTGAAAGCATTTTAACAAGAAAGTAAACCACAAAAACTCTCTTAAATTTTCTGTGAGTATATGTTTTTCAGAGGTAGAGATGACAAAATCTTAACAAGCATCTTTTTACTGTACTGCATATTCCTTCAAAGTAATAGGTTTTCTAAAACTCCTTCATTTAGGTCATATTATTGTTTTTGACAATTTTAACCAGTATATTGTTCTTACTTTCCTCAATATTTGTTTACGAGGTGGCTGGTTCTCACCGTAACCATTTGTGGTTGTACTGTTCTGTACCACATGCAAGCTTGCGTGGTAGATTGCCTTCCATAGCTGACCAGCTGATCATGGCACCTAGGCGATGGTGTAGACAATCCGCTCGCAAGTGTGCATGCAGTACCACAGCCTCACCATAGAAGTAGGAGGGACAAATCAGCCCCCTGGTACTGTGTTGAACCAGAGGTAAAGGAAAGTATTGTACCCTATGTTAATATGTTCTCTTCGTAAAGTACTGATGTGCTGTGTTTTATTTATGACTTTGAGGCTGTCAAAATCCCCTCCTTCATTTTGTAGAAAGTTTAAACAAACCAAAAGCAACAATTGGTTATTCCACCGTCCCAGATCCAAGCTGTTTCTTAAAAAGGATTGTTCTTTATGAAGTTTATCTTATAGGAGGTATGTGTGTCAGCTACCTTATATATTGATATTTAATATCTTTGTGTATGCTGATACTTCCAGAATCATGCTAGTATCAGTTGTTTGCCTGTGATGAATTAAACTATCTCAATCAAATACAAAAAATTGTTTGTGTTTGTAGGATGACAATTTTCATCCTCTCATTTTGGTATTTTATTCAATAATGTGAGTGAAATTGTTTTTTTTTGTGTGTGTGTTTTTTTTTATGAGCCTGTAGGTCGTTGGCCGTCTCGTGCGAAGTTGCGGCCGTAGATGGTGAAGGTGCGCAGGTCGAGGAGAGGCTGCGGTTGCTTCAGTGAGAGGGTCACCTTCCGCATGCCGGTGTCCGCGGCGAGCTCGCTGTAAATGTCCATAAGCAGCACGTGAGTGACTGAACCGTCCCTGCAGCGCCAGTGCGACAGCTGAGCCCGAGGCCCGAGGGCACTTACCTCTGGAAGGAGTACACATTGGCGGGCAGGGGATCGTAGCGCGGCCCGGCCAGCGTGGACGCGAACTGCAGGGTGTCCTTGTCTTGGTAGCTTGCCATGAGTCTGATGGACTGGAACTCGGTCCACTTGATGGTGGGAGAGTCGAGCCCGGGGGCGAGCCAGCCACAGGAGTGAATGTCGTTGCTCAAGCACGAGATGATCCCGCACACCTTTTGGGCAGAGTTCGAGACCATTTTTGATGCCGGGGCTTCCTCGCGAATCAGACTGAACCTGGCAGGTGGATCAACCACCTTTCACCACCTCCACATCAAAAGTCTTATTCACCCCACCGATGCCCGAAGTCAGACTGAATGCTTACGTGCGGGTGGGTTGCCTACTCGTCGTGACCGTTCTGACGTCCTGGTCGTGACGTATACGGCTGAGGACGGGCGGGGTGAATCAGCTTCCTATTTGGTGGTATACCTCCCTTGCCCACTTACTTGCACGCCAGTCGTGGCCACCTTGGAGTGGTCGCGGACGCCGTCGAACGCCACGACACGGTAGTAGAAGCCGTCGAAGTCCTGCTCCGCCTCCTCCTTGTTGAAGGTGGGCGCGTCGCGAGGCCGCGAGTGGCCCCCGTGCAGGCTCACGGCTGCGCTCGTCGTCTGTGGCCAATCGTTACTTAGAGGTGGTCGTTACACTTTGCGTACACGGATATTTAGAAACAATTTTAACGCGCACTTACCTGGAACAGTTTCACCCCCCTAGTTGTAACAGCGTATGTGCAGCAAAAGCCATTGTCGCAGATCTTTCCGATAGATTGGACTTCTTTGTCCTGGGCCGGGCGCTCGAGTTCAACGGACTTGTACATGGTCAGGTTGTCCTGGATCATCCTGAGGGCCTTCATCTCCTCGTAGGGGTCGGTGTCGCCCGCGCCGTAGTTTTGCACGGGGTCGATGCGCTCCGGGAGGGGCTGCGGCCGCATGGCGTAGTCCTCCCAGTGGCCGTGCTTGGGCACCTGGCTGACGAGTAGCTTGTGCTGCTTGCGCCAGTTCATGGTGTACTTGAGGATGCCCTGGCGGCCGCGGTAGATGCCGCTGCCCGTGCTGCCCCCCGAGGGGTTGTTGTAGCCGGAGGCCAGTACGGTCGCGTCAAGGGCGTGCGCCCACCCAGAGTGCGCCTGGACCGCCGTCAGGAACGGCACCTCGGAGAACCAGGCGGCGCTGTAGACGATGTCGGTGATTTTGCGCTCGCGGACGAGCTCCGCCGAAGGCTTGTCAAACAGGATGTCGAAGCAGATGAACATGCCGAAGCGGACGCCGAAGTCGGTGTCGAACTCGATGTACTCCACGGCGGGGGGCACGTCGTTGGATCTCTCGCCGAAGAGGTTGTACTTGTGGTACCTGAAAGCGACCGGTAGCGGATGGTCAAAGAAGCGGTTGCTCTTGCAATGGCGTGCACCATCTTGACGACGTACTTGGCTATGATCTGCCCACTGCGGTCGAAGACCACGTTGGTGTTGTAGTTGTAGGAGCCCTTCGCGATGCACTTGGCGTCCCCGGCGGCGCACGGCTGCTTGTCCACCAGGTTGACGACCAGGTAGATGTTGTTCTTCTTGGCCAGGCACGACAGATCGTGGAGGGGCTGTTCGATAGGAGAGGCTGGTGTAGAGAGGTCGGGTCGGGAGTCCTGCTCAGGGCGGAACCAGTGGAAATGCTCACCTGGTCGTGGCCATCGGTCCAGTCACACGGCGTGCTGTTCTCCTGCACGGCCATCGGCAGGCGCTCGTTACCTAAGCCTTGCAGGCCGTCCTCGGCGAACACGATGATGTCCGCACCCTGCAAAGGCGGGAGGAATGTTACGCGCAATAGGCGCCCCCATAGTGTTGCGGGTTGGACTAACTTCCTTCGTCCGCAATATATTGCCTTATAAGGCGCCATAGCTCCTGCAGCCCTAGCTAGCATGGGCTTGTCCAGAAAGCACGTCGGTTTTTCTCAGATTCATCGGAAGCTCAGCGCCTGCGAGACTCGGGGTAGGCCACCCCGCAGTGCACGCATGCACTGCACGCGAGATGATGCCTACCTACCAGGCGCCATGAGAGCTTGCGTCGGCTGTTCTGGGCTATTTCTTGTCGGTGAATAGCGGACGTATTTTGTGGATGATTCCCATGCAATGCCGCCGCGCGCTGGAGCGCACAGTAGGTAGAGCAACACCCGGCGCCGTGACCCACGGACCGCGCGAGCTGTTAGCACCTCACCTCCGGGGCGCGCGCTCGCTTACCTGCTCGGCGGCCTGCTGCGTCAACATGCCCATCGCGTCGATGTTGGCCATGATGTTCTCCAGGGCGGTCTTCCCCGTCATGGCGGGGGCCGCGAAGTCCACCACGGCGGCCGTATAGTGCGGGTCGTCCGGCTTGGAGCAGCGCCCGGGGGCGGCGCACAAGGCCAGCAAGACCACCAACGCAGCCGGCAGGGTCGGCGCCATGGCTGGGATTAGACTGTTCCAAAGGTGAGCGTCGCGTCTAGGCGGGCGGCGGTACTTTGTAAGATATGAGTTCTCAGGAAGGGACGCCACCATGTCTTGATAGCATCACTACCAGATTTATGGAATCATTTTTGAGACGGTTTTAGACGTTTGAAGGCATCAGTTTTCCCTGGATTAGATCTTTACGTAATTTTGACAACCCGTTATAAGACGAATTAGATTTTCCCTCGATATCGTGCAAAAAATTGTTCTGTCACCCGTTGACAAAGAGGCATTCATTCATTCAATTCTTTTAAGAGCCCAAAATAACGTAACAGTAAACTGCACCAATCTTACTTTTTCACCTGATACTGGGCGGCTGCTCACCGCTGCTTACGCTCGCGGCGGTGGCAAGAGAGGGACTGTCGGTCGCGCGACCGCGGCAAGAGCAGCGCGCGTTTGTCTTTCATCTTGTCGACACTTTGTTGAGTGTGGTGTGATTCACCCCTCCCCCCCCCCTCCTCCTCCTCCCATTGCGCCGGCCGGTCTTAGTCAAGGCGGTTATTCACATTCCGAATTAACCACATGGCTATGGCCGAGGCTATGGGTATTGCGAAAGAAAGATGTCTCTCGAGAAGTACCTTTTCCGCTGACCGAACATCAAGAGCATCAGGAGAGAGTCCGTCACCTTGGAGCCAGTGCCCTCTCCCCCTCGCGACCCCCCGCTTTTCTCTCTTATCTTGCTGAGGGTTTGATTGTTCTGAAGTGACCGACGGGTATTCATGGCTTATTTAA